AACATCTCTCAAGATCAAAACTCAAGTGAACAACTATCGACCAGGGAGAACTAAAATGGAAATAACGAGATATTAGAAGCACAACTGCACGTTAATATCAATGGTAACTATGTTCTAGGCTTGATACACAAAAGATGAAGAGTTGTGATTAGAAACTTACTAATCAAGGCAAAATAAGGTGTCAATATCATGTATGTAATAAGTGTAGGATGCGTTTTACTCCGTTCTCTTACTCGTGCACAAATACATACGGAAAGGTCGTGCAGGCACAACAAGGATGAACCAAATCAAAGTGATAAATGTTTTATAATCATTTTTGAATCTGTTTATTAATCACAATTTCTAGAGGCAAAAGATTTCTAGAGACATAATATCAATAGAAATCGAAAAATGCCAAACAACCATCATGAGATACAAGTCAGTGTAATGATACTCAATTTCGTAAAAGCCCTCGACATAGTGTCTCATGTACATGTTGTAGCAAAGGTTGTAAAAAGGGGTTTCACTGACACAGCTTTATCCTGACTCCAAAAGTATTTGAGAACAGGATGTTTAATACCAACGTGAATAGAATGCACGCGAACAGGCGAGTTGAAACGTCAGGAGTTTCGCGTTGAACAATCATAGATCCACCGTTGTTTTCAATCGTTATTAACAATCTGCACTGATCTGCAGATGATACAGAGACCTGGAGGCACATTAAAAGCCAAATTTATTCACGTCAGCTTGAAAAACATTCTACAACACTGGAGAAATGGGCAAAAGATAATGCGTTAAAATATAAACTGACGAAATGTCGTGTTATTCAAATTTTGACCTATGTCAATCAACCGACAACCCCAGGGAAATCCGCTTGCTACTGTCTCAGAACGCGAGCTCAGGCTTGTAGACACAGAGAGCTTAGACACCACCCCAAACTCCACAGTTGAGGCAGTTAGATCAAAAATAAATCTCTATTTTGTGAGGAGACAACCTAGAGCAATCATTCCAAGTCTCCCCAACACTTCAAGAGGTGCACAAAGTCGTAGACGACCCTCTCTTTCAAAGGGATATAAATGTCTTAGATTGTAGTGACTCACGTTTATCACGAGAACACGACTGGTTTAATAAAAACAATTATTATTATAACCAACTGTACCAGTGTTTGTTTTAATGTGCTTTTGTTTGACTGTGCTAATGACAGCTATATTGTGCTTCCATTCTTATTCTTACACTTTGATTGTAACTTCGCGCGAATTCGGTTACCTTCTGTAACCAAGGTTGTATCCTGGCACGATCTCGGTATCCTTTCGATGCCACGAGATCGCCAGCGAATATATCTCGACTTGGTCCATTAACTGTCTTCTGATATTTGGCTTCTCGGGATTTTATGGATTTATTTGGTACGTTTAACCTTCGCCTTCTGATTTATTTGGCACGTGTTTCTTTGTAGCGGTGTTCATAGTCAATTTCAACTCGACGCCACGCTACATTGGTGACCCGTATTTTGGAACACGCCTCAACTTCTGATCAAATCTTCCAAAGAAGCCAATTCGGTGAGTCTATGATTTATCTATCCACGTCTGTCGTATATTTTCATATTTTTTAATATATAATATACTCGACATGACGGATAACGATAAGAATAGTATTAATATAATAGACTCACATGTATGTGTACCGAATCCTTGTTACTTTTTATTCGCGTGACGATGAATTCCACGCTTTATTCGAGAAAGTTTCCCCTATTAACTATTCTCCTCGCTGACCCGGCTGCTTGGTACGGAATGCATACGCATAAGCATATCTGTCTACCACCCAGCACCAAATGGTTAAGTAAACGGTTTCACTGCCAACTTAAAAGTGCTATACGAGCACACGAAAACGGCAACTGGCACGAAACCTTACCGCTCGTTCTTTTAGGGATTACAACGAGCTTAAAGGCAGATATCCAATGTTCCGCCCTGAACTTGTATACGGCACGACATTGCGTCTGCCCGGAGAATTCTTCACACCACGGAGCAGACCTAATTTCGGTAAATCAGACTACGTCCATCGACTGTCTGCATTTATGCGAACGCTGTCTCCGGTGTCAACTCGAATACAACATCGACAGGTCGCTCTCCCTCGAGAGTTATCTACCTGTTCACATGTTTTTGTACGAGTAGATTCGGTACGCAAACCTTGGCAACAACCTTACGAAGGCCCTTTTCACGTGATCGCTCGTCACGAAAAGACCTTCAAGGTTGATCGATATGGACGCGTCGAGATCGTCAGCATTGATCGTCTCAAACCAGCACACGTCGATGACAGTGCCCTATCTGATAACCTGAGATTCAATGCTAGACCTAGCAAACCTACTAGCGGGATCCTCAAACCATCTTCAGGTCCCACGCTAGATACATCTGAGACCTCATTCTCACGTCCCAGTCAACAGCACGCGTCATCTGCACCGTCTACGGACGAGACGACAGTCTCACGTCCAGATCAGCAGACCACGCCGCCCTTGACTTCGGATGAGATTGCAGGCTCACGCGACGCGAACGAGACTACCGTCTCACGTTCCGGTCGCCGAGTACGGTTACCCGTACGCTTCCGCGACTAGCCGCACAGTTAAAAACGATACGGTGTAGGATTATTCCTATACTACACGCATGCTACACTCTTCTCTTTTTTGATTTTCTTTTTGTTTCCTGAGCCCACGCCTTCGACCATCTCCGTTTGGTTCCGTCGACTTCAGTCAACTTTGGCGAAAGCTGGCCTGATCACCCACGCTCTTGTCAACGTACTCAGTCGATATCTTCGTTTCGAATGTTTGGCACACGCTTGGTCTCGAACTTGGTCGTTATGGTCGCTTCTGGTTCATCGGATCAACGTGGTTTCGTCCTACGTCTGCAGCGTTTCTGGTCCGGACCCCTACGAACGCCATCTTCAGATTCTGGATACAAACCACTCTGGTGTAGCATGCCAACTCAAGCAACAAATACAGCACATCGCTCCTGGTACCGTTCTCCGAAAACGACCTTCGTTGGCAACTCGACGATCAACGATCGCTTTCCTGTTCGCCAATTCTTCCGTCCTACAATCGCTCGTCAGCCGATCAGTCCCACGATTCAAACCGCTATTTATCGAAAGTGTAAACCCTTTCTAGCGGGGGGCTCCTGTAGTGACTCACGTTTATCACGAGAACACGACTGGTTTAATAAAAACAATTATTATTATAACCAACTGTACCAGTGTTTGTTTTAATGTGCTTTTGTTTGACTGTGCTAATGACAGCTATATTTTGCTTCCATTCTTTACACACACTTCGATTGTAACTTCGCGCGAATTCGGTTACCTTCTGTAACCAAGGTTGTATCCTGGCACGATCTCGGTATCCTTTCGATGCCACGAGATCGCCAGCTAATAAACCTCGACTTGGTCCATTAATTGCCTTCTGGTATTCGGCTTCTCGGGGATTTTATGGAGTCATTTGGAACGAGCTTCTTACGCCTTCTGATCTATTTGGCACGTGTTTCTTGGTAGCGGTGTTCATAGTTAATCACAACTCGACGCCACGCTACAAGATCAAGTACAGAGACGAGGAGCCAACTGTGCTGTAGGTCTGTAGAATTATAGTCTACTATGATATCATTACTGCTCTAATAGTAGACCTAATCCTAAAATTGTAGATTGGTCATGGTATAACTGCCTAATCTATAAGATCTTACGTGGAAGTCACATCATCGTCTACCCTGATTCATCACGTTGTAACAATCATCAATACATGATGGGGAACACATTCAGGCTGGAAGTATTTAATATGGATAACAATAATGTAACACAAGTAAGACCACGCCTGCATGGACAAGCCATGCCATCCGATCAACTCGAATTAATTCAACTCATTTTTCCCGCCTTCTCCATGATTGGGTTTTTCGCAGTGTTGAATGTTGAACATCTATTTCCCCAATTGTCTGGTGTTCAGCTTTGATGATTGTGAGGTTAGGACCCAATGCCTAAACGGTTCAAAAACATAAATCTTACGAGGACAGACTCCAGCACCTGGAGTCATTCTTCTTTGGCAACAGGAAAATGGGACGTGGTTCGACAATAGCATACAACATTAAGTACGCCAAGCCATTCAAACAAGAGCATGTTATCGAAACACCATGTCCACGCCTCTGACTGCAACACTCAACCGGTTACACATCAAAGAGCCAACGTCCAGGTACACTACAACTTATTTCCACCAATAGTTGCTACCACTTGAGATACTCTCCCAACATAAATGACCACAGCTTCTGAGTGGATAGCTTCAAGACGAGACTCAAACAACAAGCACTCGCCCATGGATTACCATTTCCTGCCTAGATCAGTTACGCCCGATGCATGTCTCATAATCTACCACTGTTATCATTGACACATATCAGTCACCATTTCCTGCATAGTGAAGATGCCACAGGTCTTCAGAGTTCGACAACGCCTTAACCAGTATTACCTTCTGCTATGAATCATGCCTATCTAGTGAAACCAAATTACAGAAGTGAGGACGTTCGAAGATATATTTGAGAGGCTATCAGTATATTGAGAATCGACTGATCTAATCTGGCTGGCGATTGTAGGGGATGTTGAGCACGGCGTTCTTACTCGTGATCTAGTGTGAAATCATGACCGAGCGCCTTCAGCTAGGTGATTCTATTAAGACCAATGTGGTCAGCATAAAATGTCGACGACCTACAGAGCTATTTATTTTAGGGATTTATTTGCCGCTACAATCATCTTCACATATCTTAGATTTTTATAGTGCGTCCTTCCTACAACGTCTCCGTCACCGGTCAATTAACCTATTTACCAGTTTATTCATTAATTTTCACATTACAATCAACCAACCTGCCTGGTAATGTGATAACTACATGTTCGAGAAACCCTAATGACCTGAGATAGACTCACCCACTCAACTAAAAGATATGCAAATACACAATTGACTAGTAGCGTGGTTAGAATTGATGCAGTCAAATGGTTATATTACAATCGATTGGACATAACCAGATACCTGGAACCGTGTCGAAAAAACAAGGTGGGAGCGAAATAGAATCATTTGGTTTATACAAGCTCTTAAGTTGGCATATCTGATAAGCCAATAGAAAATCACATTTAATCAGTGCTAGGAATCACTCAACGTAAAAGAAGCTACTTAATTTTCGAGCCATATCATAATACAACAAATACAATTTGAGTTGGCATATTTGACTATGACGCTACGTCACTGGAATTGGATAGCCTGAGGATTTGCGTCTTCTCGTGATATCCGCGCTAAATGTCAGCCTATAGCAGTTTACTCCCAGGCCATGCCTATCGTAAACTCCCCGGTGAAGAGAGGGTTGATCATTGCTCGGCTTCTCATGTAACTTATGGTGGTCTAAATCTGCATGGTGTGATAGAGGTTTGATCCTCTTATCGCTTATTTAAAAGCTAACAAACTTTCAAGTAGTATTTATTGCTTTACCCAACGAAGCTAGTTCTGCTCGTGCACCAAAATCATTTCACGGTTCAGATAAAAAGAGATACATCTTAAAGCTGCCATTGGGAACAATTCGAAACATTGACCAGAAATCCAACCAGGGAAATATTTCACTTCATATTGTTTGTAAAGATATCCGAGAACTAGTGTTCGCCTTCCCGGTAGTTACAATATATGTTCTGACTTTATCTATTAGGACTGTGGGCGAAGTCTTGGGTTCTGTGAAAATCTTAAAGCAAACGCGTTTCCTGCTATTTCCAAAAAAACACTGTTTGCTTATTTATATGGTGCAAAGTGCATCGCAAATAGTGTTTTTGCAATAGATGGTTGGGATGTGTATAATCCAGAAGAGGAATATCACCGCCAGAACATTTTTACTAACGGCTGGAGGATTACAAAAGTAAGTCTTAGTATTTATCCATAATCTTCGTCTGAAAAGGAAAACATACCGTATACTGTGGAAAAAGTACTCAAGATTTATAAACAGATCACTACTATTTGACTACCTAGAATTGGTGCTTAATTCTACAGTTATTTCACTACGTTGTATTAAACTATTTTTTTATTATCATAACCATACCATAATTTTTGAAATTCCCTGCGTTTTCACTACTTTTTTGTTGATCAGATTGTATATGTTTCCAGCTCGACTGTATTTCTTAGACCTGGTTAAGATCTGTGCATTAGCCACAGTTACTACCTAAGGACACTAGATGTGATTATGACATCAATTCTCTGTCAGTATTGGTCTGTAAAACAATTTTATGCCTCTTAGTCCTCTATTTCGTTCTGTCTTCCCTATGTCATAAGCACTACTGTTACATTGACTTATTTGGTGTATATCATGAATTTCTTCTCGATGTGTAAATGTGGTGGACTAGGTTATGTCGATGCATATTTGTACCAGGTCTTATCCCGTTTTTGACTAATTGATGTTTACTCAGCATCTAGCATGTATTAACACAACCCCCAAAACGTATTAATTTATACAACCCACAGAAAAAAGTAACGACGACTATGAAATAGATCTGTGAGTAAAAGTGGTAGGAGTATAAATAAGTAAATAATAGCAGAATGTCTGCATTCCAGGTGTAGGGTATTCTTTTTACATAGTGATTTGTTTAGAGTGGTTGAAACTATCGATACTTCACTCTAAAATTCGTTTTCAAAAAGCTACATTTATACATTATTTTGTGCTTGCTTGGAAGGTTTCCGTCATCAAATTTGAGAACGCATGCTTATCGTTATCACGCAACCACTTTGTGTAGATTTGACTTCTAAATACAACCTTAAATTGCTTACTGTTTCTTATTCCTAAATTACAGATTAACATGGATTATAGGTTGTGTGATACTTACCCAGCTATTTTAGCTGTTCCATGGGAAGTAACTGATGAACTTCTAGTCGCATGTGCACCCCATCGCAGCCGCGGTCGGATACCTGTTTTAAGTTGGTTGCATCCTGAAAGCAAAGCAAGTCTAACCAGAGCAAGTCAACCTCTTGTTGGTGTCCAGGGCCGCCGCAGCTCCGACGATAAAGAACTTGTTCGTCAGCTCAGGATAGCCAATGCTAATGCAAATAACCTTTTGATATTTGATGCTCGTCCACAGGTAAGATGCCTGACTCGTGTTTGTGTTAGTTCACATTAGTTTTTTTCATTTGGGTCACCATTTCACAAAGAAGTTACTTGTAGTTAGCGAACAGTGAACAGAAATTTACACATTCTCAGTTGGATGAACAATGTTTTCCAGAATCTTCTAGTATCTACTAGACAGCTATAGTAGCTCTGACCTATCGGCGTATCCGAATTCGGGCCTGATCACTACATGTACAGTCAGGACTACATCCTACTAACATGAGTTGGCTAATGATTAATTACACCGTCGTAAAATAGAGTATTACGTTCTACGACCCGTTAAATATCACGTGACAAAATCACCAATGAGAACACTGGCTTGTATGACCTTGTATCTGTACCAAACCGATGATGTGTTAACTAGCACGAGTAGCCTAGAATCAACACTGAGTCTTTATTGGTTCTGTGTATAATAACTTTTTACCTAGCTCAGCTCGTTCAGTTCGGAACACAAATATCAGCCTTCTCTGTATGAATCGTATATTCCAGGCATACGTGGTTTATGTACAAGCAGATCAGACAGCATCATATCATGAAATGAAAAATAATAATTATAAAGGACCAGACCAAAAGTGACTGTGAGTATGGAATACTGTACCTAATAAATTAGGAATAAGTTAAGTCGGTCAGTCATTTACAACGTAGGACCAGACACATGCATGCATCGGTCCAAGTTGCCACACCTTAATAGCACAACAAGATGAACACCGGATTCATAGAAGTAGTTACTTTAATGGTAGTAATATACAAAAAAGAGTGAATATAAGGATATAATACTGGGAGTTAGTTCGTAGAAAGGAAGGTATAAAGTAGTTTTAATTTCACAGTTTAAGACTGGACAAAGTGTATACACCTACGCCATTGTGATCGATTCTGAGCCATATCACTCAGAGTCTCCAATCAGTGGTTACGATAGTCGCGCTGACCCCAACCAAGTAGTTTGCATCTACCAACATGGCTCAGACCAGAAGTTAGTGACTTCAAGCACTGATGCCACTTTCAGTTTGGCCGCCCCTAACTTTCTTCCAACCATCCCCAACACTACTCAGCATTACGCGTCATGGTAATCGGTGTTCAGGCATACGCAGCACGTGGTCCAACTATCCCAGTCGATGAAGATTCACAGCCTTATCAACTGATTTACCATCATTACCTAATAACCTCACTATTACTTACCCGGTGATCCCAGCAGATGCGAGCAATATTTCTAAGGCATCTGTGGTCAAATACTAGTCGCTTACGAGTATCTTCTACTCTTAATGGCCATGTTTCGCAGTCGTAAAGTAGAACAGAACGGACTGCCGCGCAGTATACTCGTCCTTTTATTGATAGACGGATATCTCGCCTTCGCCATAGGTGACGTAAGTTCGCGAAAGCCTAACGAGCTTTTCGAATCTGTGCTGAGATTTCGTCAGATACCAACCCATTAGGGCTGATCAGACTTCCAAGATAAGTGAAGTTATCAGTATGGGGGTTGTGGACATTGTTAAGTTTTTGGTTGAGATCATGAATCAATTGATGTTAGACCACCGTTGGAAACCTGGAAGCACTGGACGGCCGTTTCGTCCTAGTATGGGACTCCTCAGCAGTGCGCGGGATCGTGGATGCGCACTTCTGAGGAGTCCCGTACTAGGACGAAACGGCCGTCCAGTGCTTCCAGGTTTCCAACGGTGGTCTAACATCAATTGATTCATGATCTCAACCAAAAAAATAAGTGAAGTTGTCAACGCGTTTGACTACTTCACTCCCTACCCTTAGTTCAGGTGTTGACAGCAATTCACATTTGGAGGGAGAGAAACGCATCCCAGACATCCTAGCATTGTTGCTCAGTACTACCAAAAGACTGCATTTTATCAGCGTCTTCACCAAACAGGACTATGTCATCTGCATATTCTGATTCGATAAATGGGCCTTCCGGTGGATCAACTCCTGAAAATTCGGACGATGAGAACGTTATTTTAAGCACTAGGTCTATGATGAATCAAACAGAAATAGAGATAGTAAATAGCCTTGTCGGATATCACTCGAGGTTGCGGAATCAGATGACAGTTCGCCATAAGCTCTGACTCGACTAGTGTTAGAGTAAAAAGCCTTCACAAGGTTTTATGTACTTCTGAGGTACGTCTTTTAATGTCAGACACTGCCACAGAACCTCTCGCTCTACAGAGTCAAATGCTGCCTTTAAGTCAAGAAAAACCATCATTGTCGGACGCTGATAAGCATACCTGTGTTCTAAGGCCTGACAAATGGCAAATGTGTGGTCGGTGCAGCTACGACCAGGTCTGAAGCCAGCCTGAATTTTTCGTGTTTGCAGTCCACGAGTCTTTGCTAGGCGTCCGATAATTATTGAGGTTTGTATTTCAGACGATATTCTAGTCAAACTATTACCTCCATGGTTATCACAGGATGATTTTGATCCTTATATAGTGGAACAATCAGCGATTGCTACCAGCCATATGGGATGACATCCAGTTCCCAGATTTTAGCTGAAATATTACTCAACCTAATGGAGGGTGTGTTTCGTTGGCTCCCTCTTTGGGCTAGGTGTGGTCAAGTGAGTGACCACACTAGAATCCTGTATGCGTGTTTCTAGACATGGCATACATAAATGGTGCGGAATTCTAGAGTCTCAGCCAAGGAAGCCCGCTGGTCAATTTGACATAGTATTCGTACGTTGAATGCTCCAATGTGTAGTTCGAAACAAGGTTTTAAAACCTAGAACAGTACTTCGCTCAATAGAATCTTTGGCCATGGTGACACTTAAGGAGGAAGTTTAGAGTTATCACTTCCGGGCTGCTCACACCGTGGAAGGGTTCTTCTAGAGGTACGTGAAAAGGAAATTGCGTTAGAGTTAATCTTAGTGATCTGAGAGCGTGAACACAATGCCCGAGGGACAACTGCTTGAGGCCAGTCACACACTTTTTTGTAGGTAGTTTTAGTGTTAGCCTCGCACTTATTGAGACCTCACCCCACAAGCATCCGTGGGTTAAGGCGAGATATGCATTCTTAGGGTCGACATTTTCTATCCCCACCCTTCCTTTGTAGAAAGGTTTCATCGCTATCATGCTCCTTGTCTGACAGAGACACCTTAATGCCGTCACACTCCTCTACAGTCAGCAGTACGACTTCACTCTCGAACCTCGAGTTTGCTGCCAACTAGTGCGGTGGAATGATTAGTTGAATCTAGAAGAGATAGTCTTATTCCTCTGATTTTGTCTTCTTTCTCTCAAGGATTGCTTTATTTTGAGTAATTATTAGTTATAAATACATTGAAAATTCCCATCGCCTTATTAAAACATAATCTACCTTAAAAGACTACAATATTTCAGTCGCATTAAAAATATTTATATTTTTAATTTCTTAAACCAATTCCAAGGAACCTATGATTTTTAATACTCAATATTCTAGGTTAACGCAATAGCTAATATGGGCGTTGGCGGAGGTGTTGAAAGTCCAGCTTATTATGAAAACGTTCAATATATGTTCTTAAATATACAAAATATACACGCGATGCGAGCTGCATTGACAAAAGTTTTCGAGGCCTGTTTTCCATTACCAGACGATACACGATGGTTTAAGCAACTGGCTGACTCTAAATGGCTTTATCATATTAAACAAATTATTTTCGCCGCAACCAGTGTAGCCGATAAAGTAAGCTAGATTTGTAATCTGCAATATAGGCTTGATGCTATGTTTAGTGGTATAAATTATTGACACTGAGAATCTTTAAATTCAATCGTGACTTAGTATTTTATTTTTCCGTTAAAATCTGATTCTAGATTGAAAATCATAAGACATCTGTGTTAATACATTGCTCAGACGGTTGGGACCGGACAACTCAAGTTACATCTTTAGCAATGTTGATGCTAGATCCGTACTACCGTACAATACGCGGATTTGAAGTATTAGTCGAGAAAGAGTGGTGTTCTTTTGGCCACAAATTCGCACAGCGCACAGGTGGACCTACCGATGGTGGGATTTATTTGCCTCCCAACTCATCAAGTTCTGTTGTTAATGAAACTGGTGGAGGACGGCCATCAAGTCCTGAGGAGCGTTCCCCAGTATTTTTACAGTTCATTGATTGTGTGTGGCAGACGATGCAGCAATTTCCCCATTCATTTGAATTCAACGAACGATTTCTCATAACAATAATGGATGAGTTATATTCTGCGCGATTCGGAACATTTCTTTTCAATTCAGAAATGCAAGGACGCGACCATGGTGTACGTGAAAGGACTATCTCATTGTGGGCATATATCAATGCAGATATCCAGTTGTATCAAAACCCACTTTATACTCCTGCTGAGATCAGTGGTCATCGTGTGATTTTTCCTCAGCATGCATTAGCTCAGCTTCAATTTTGGACAGCTTACTACATAAGATGGCATCCACTCATGCGTTTACAAGAGCCCATAGCACGTCGAGAGAGAGCCTTAATATTGATAATGAAACGATTCAGGGAACTTACGGCTGCCACGCAACGTGAATGTGCTAAACCAACTCTCAATAATGTATCTGATAACTCAACACACAGTAGGTCCCGTTCAAATAGTTCAAAGATCTAAAAATGTAACCTTCAGCAAATAGCTGATATACAATTTCTTAATTCGCCAACTCCTAAGACGCAAACAACCGAAATGTGATATTATCTTTAATCTCTTTTTACATAATCTAAAATTGATTTTAATTCTTAATACAAAACTGCTACTAGAGTAACTTATTTTTTGGTATTTGGTCATCCCAAAAAAATGTGCTACACCGGGCAGCTGGATTGTCTGAAGCGCCTTGAGGGCGTGCACAAACCCAAAACCGCCTGCCGAGTCGACTGCCTTTAGTTGTTTTTAGATTTTTCACAGTCCTCATGACGCAAGGTTCTTTGTGGCCAAGGCATACAGGAGGTTTCTTCGGCCCTGAAAAAAGATTTCGCCACGCTTCAGTTGACTGAGCTGTTTGAGATGGGTCGTAATTTTTCTTTGGAGAGTTTCAGTCGTATTTTCTTTACTTGAAAATTGATCATGTATACATGTAGCCGTCTCTATTGGTATAGACTCTGATAAAAAAACATAGCGTATGAATTAACTGATAATACAACAGTTTTTCCATTAAATTATCAAAATTGTTTTAAATAATATTGGATTCGGTTATCAAGTGTATTTAAAGGTATCTACGGTTACTCTTTATCTGTGCAACTCAAATGGTAGGGAAATGGAGAAATTACTATGTTTGATAGAAAATAACTACTTAGATCCCCCAAAAATAAGATTCTTCGTCATAGGCATATAACAATCACAAGAATGAATCAAGGACATTATCTGATTTTCACCTGAGAACTTAATGAACAGTGTTTAGACTAACTTACCCCTAAAGGTGATTTTCGTTTGTCTGAAAGCGAGACGTTTCTCTTTGGAATGCGAATTTCGTAAACGGGATACGGAAGCTTGTGTGTCATGAGAAGTAAAAGCTTGTTTAGTTACTTTGGAATGACTCTTTGACATTACGAAGCTCTCTAAGTCCATTTGCTTTCTTTGACATTGGGGCCAGTAATGAGAGCATTTAGGTGGAAATGAATAGGAAAAAATCAAATCTGAATTGTAAAAATATGGTAGATCTGCATATATTGGGCAATGATCAGATCCATTTATATGTGACATCAAGTCTGCTTGTATACTGTTATCTGATATGGTGGTGATAATCTCCACAAGTTTCATGTCGAATAAAATATAATCCAGTCTGACTCCATAATTTGTTTGACGAGCATTCGTACGCGACGACCAACATGTAAAAGCATTTTCTCGATGAGGATGGAGTAGCCTAAGTCATAATCACATAAAGTGAAGAAATTAAACAATATGTTAAGTCCAAAGTGACTACTATGGATTAAAACGCCATCCAACTTAATTAAACTACATTACTAAAAAGTACGAACGGTTCGCATTTTTACTCGATATTTTGGAAGTCATTCATGAGCTCTCAAAAGACTAAAATATTTGTTACTAGAACGCTTCTAAAACTCCTAGAAATCACTTACTTAAACGGCACAGTTTATATTTAAAATCGCACAACAACTAGTGATTTGAGTGGTACTATTGAGTCCAAAGGTTTTGGGGACTACACAGACACTAATTAGGGCGATTTCAGACCCATGTATTTACTTGGAACAACCTTACTCATCATATGCAATGATGATTTTCACAAAAAACACTCCAGTTTGCTGAATTACTTTATGTTTTTAGTGTTCATAGAGCTAATAACTCGTCTGGTTTCGGTAGGTTGCCTTAAAAGAAAAATCTTTCGGGAGTACCTATGGACTAACCACTTATTCATAGATTTTTATTTCGGTATACCATATATAACAACAAATAACGAAGTAGCCATCCCAATTATTCACTTTACAATCAATATAAAATTAGTCGATATTTATCGTAGTTATAATCTCTGTAAAACACACACTAGAACGAGAGGCCATCACCACTTTTATGTAATTTATGGAAGAGTGATTTACTCTATCTAGAGTAATCTGCTTTTAGGAATAAAAGAGAGGCCGATTAGTGGATGCTTATTCATATTAGTTTGAGTTTGTTTATATGGTGTGAGCTTGAAAATATTTATGCAAGAAATGTCTCTAGATAAATGTAGTTACTAATTTTCTGGATCCTAAATCCTACTACTTATCAGTGACTTCCCATTCCCAGCCAATACCATTCTCGTTAGGCGTATATCTACCCGTCTTTTCCTTTGCTGTTTCGAGTCATGTCAGTTTCAAATTATACATTTTCGTGTAAGGTTCTATACTAGCGTGTCTCTCTACTGTATGCATCTAATTTCCTATGACTATAAATGTTGATTGGAATTAACTGGCCATTTCTTACAAAAGTAACCACTTTAAACGTAATAGCATAGTAATAATATTTCGAAATTTACTTTTGAAAAACCTGGTGATTACCTGAAGATATCCACGAATCTTCTTAAACCAACACTGATTTGAGTATTAAGACTTAGATCTTGCTGTTCTTCAATCAACAACCGATCAAACCACTGGCGAAAAGATTTTGAAGACTCATCTATCTGAATAGTACGCGAAACAAAATTTACATAACTTTTTCAAATAACTCAAACTTATGCACCAATTGTATCTAGAGTATTTAGAACAAAGCCTTAACTAACAAGGTAGTTCTAACGTTGACATACACTTAGCTGTTATTATGGTCATAAAATAACGATTGAAATCTGGGGCTCTTCATTCAAGACATCTACTTAATAATTAATGTATATTTAAATTCGCTGTTCGTTATGATGGGGTGACTTTGTTTCAAGACAGTTTTAGGTGTGTTGAAAGTTGTCAGTTATGGAAGCTTAATGGTATTTTAGTGCACAATTGCTAGTCATGTAGACATATTTAAACTTTAGTCGTACCATTTAAGGGGTACAAGATACGTTACGTTTAGCTTGTTTCATGAGTTTCACACAATTCAAATTTAATCGAAGTCTGGTTTCCCTGCCAATAAATGTATTTACCACTTTATATACAGGTTGAGGAGACTAATTTCTACAACTAAAGACGGGTTTTGGCTGGAATTTCCGCGCATACGGTTAAAAGTCTCTTTGAGGGATTCATACTTTTTTTCATTACGGTGGCATCTTACTACTTAGCTAAGATAGTGTATGAATACTGAAGCATCTGACAAATTAAAAAGCATAAGATTCCAAGTGTGCTCTGATTTTTTCTATCAAACATAAGCGATCTCATGCATGTTCGGTATAACTTCTTACAGTTATGCTAAGTTATTCCCCCAATTTTCTGCTTATCACTAATCTGTTGGAATTCGTCCACTTTGTCTTCCATTACTTTTATTTTTATCCGCTATTTCTATTTGTTCGATATATATTGAGCTTAATTATTATTGTTTTGATAAAGTTCGAGTGAACAATGAAACCACTCAGTTTCTAATCTTCAAATCATAGGTTCACCACCCATAACACTTAGTTCGGTTTGAGATCTTGAGTAGTATTGCTAACTTTAATACAAACAGCATGCCTTAAGACAAAATAGAGGTACTTGGCACATAAATTAAATGTTCGTAATTACGATTATCACACTTAGTTGACTTACAATAAATTCGTCTGGAGCACAATGATCGATCATTTTGTGACAAATATTAAAGTCCCCAGCAATAACTACGTTGCTGAAATATTACAGACCGAATAAACGAATAGCCTACTTTTCTACTAGAAGTGATTCAATGCAAAGTTGTACAGCAGACTGGAAAAGATGTTTGTAATTCAAACGTTCAACGTTTTCTGGATTTAACCTGGGAAAATATATGGACAACACAATCAGCGGTCGCTTTTCGTCTGGAATTCGAAAGGGGGTAAATATATCAGTAGAAAACTGGAGACCCAGTACTCTTCCTTCTGCATCCAAGTTACGAGCTTCAGTATGAGTGATATTTAGTTTCGTTTTGAGAAAACTCCATCCATCCGTTGAATTATTTCGGCAGGAAATGGATTCGACAAGTATATCATTTAAGTTATGGAATGTTTTAGTTGGCTTGACAGGATTACGACAAAAAACCGCAGTACCTATCGTGTTGATTAAGCAACGACAAACATACCTGAATATCCTGTCTTGTGTATACTATGACTAAAATAACTATTGTAATTATCCGCAAGTGCGAATTCCCTACTTATATCAGCTTGAATTTCAAAGCATCAACCAATAACATAAACATACGTGTGGTTTTAGTCTCCTGAATACAAATTATATCAGATTTAAGAGAATCTAAAGTAGTTTTCAACGGATGTTGAATAGAGCGCAACCCATTTATATTCCATGAACAGATGCGAACAGGATTCATACGAACTTAGATGTATCTGAAAAGGTGTGTATCATCACTAAATAGAACATATGAATCCGCGTTTTTCTTTTAGCAAAGCACATGATTTACCAAATGTTTTATTTAGTACACTAAAATCGGTAATGCTGAAATTATACATTGTGAGAATTTCTGAGCACCCAGTCTACCTATTTCGAGTGAAATGTCCGTTTTTGGTACATTCTAGGTAAGCCACAATAGAAAACTTTAGGGGAATGGCACAAAACCACCAAATTTTTTACAGGTCTGGGGAGAATCCCCAAAGTTTTGGGTTTTCCCCAATATTCCCTTAGGATCTTATAATGCGTTGCGGAAAACCATGGAATTGGGCGCAAAATTATATTGCCAATACAATGAATGGTTAACTATACATTTTGTATTTGAACACATCCGTTTAAAATAGGTTGGATGCCGAGGGCTTGGTATCTATTATATGTTGAGCAGCTTGACGATACTAGATATTTATTCAATCAGTCGCAACGTATGTATATTTCAATTGTTGAGATCATAAGTCAATTGAAGCTAGACCACCATGGAAAACCTGGAAGCACTGTATATATATTTGTATATTTTGCCATACCCCGTCAGCACAGAGGGATGAAATCGTTAAACCGAATCCCAGAATAATAAAGGTAGTAACACCATTAGTGCTAATAGAAAACACCAAATATTAGATTCAAGCAACGGTTCGATGTCATTGTCCATTAATAGAGGTCGCTGAGTTCGTGAAGGTCAAACCGTCGTAAGACCATTGGTGCATCACGACAGTTTGTAAGTTTTTCCAGAAGCGGTCAAATCAAAGTGATTCAGTCTGTCTTCAATCTTAAGTAAAAAGGATAGTGGGTTGATGAACCTGTATTAAACCTGACACATTACTTTCCAGTGAAGGTTCAGCTTCTTGAAAATGTTCACTGATGGGGCTGATACCACTTGTTCGGGTAAGGCGTTCCAGTCATTGACCACTCTATGAGAAAAACGGGACCCCACTTTAAGTTTATTAGATCGAACTTTATGAACCCTCTTGCTATGACCTCGGAGATTATTAGTGCTTGAGGGAGCAAAAAGATAAGAAATATTAACACCCAAATCATAATTAAAGATACGAAATGCCAGTATAAGGTCTTCAGTCTTCAGTAATAAGGATAGGAGGTCTGTCGACCTATATTAATCCTTGCAGTTTGTAATACTGTGGAGGTCCAATCTCGTTTTGAATATATTAACAGACGGTGCTGATATTACGTGTTCCGGTAGAGAATTCCAGTAATTCACTACTCGGTGCGAGAAACGGAACTCCAGACGTAAACGGTTTGATCTCGGTTTTTGAACTTTCTTCGAATGTCCTCTCAAATGATCGGTTCTAGACGGAAGCAAAAGATAAGACATGTTAATACCAAGGTCATCGTTCAGTATACGATAAGCCAATATTAGATCACCCCGTATTCTACGGTAAGATAACGGAAATAAGTTAAGGTGTCTCAGTCTGTCTTCATAAGATAGGCCAGATAGACCTTGTACCATCTTAGTAGCTCGTCGTTGGACTCTTTCTAGCATATCTGCTTCATATTTGAAACAAGGACACGCTGCTTGAATCCCGTATTCTAAATGTGGTCGCACATAAATCGGGTATAGTAATCTAAACATTTCATCATCTAAATACTGGAAAGACCTACGAATTGACCATAATACCCTATAGCCTTTTGCAGCAGCAGCCTTACAGTGACTAGTCGTTTTGAGATCATTGCTTAATATGACTCCTAAATCTTTATAGTTTCTTGCTTTGGGTAGCACGAATCCACGTAGTGTATAGTCATACGATTCATCAGAGTTATTTAACTGCATCACTACACTCTTATTAGGATTTACTTCTAGTGACCACCTGTCTAACCATGCCACCAATGAGCTAAGATCGTCCTGTAATACTATTCTATCCGACATACTATGTATGGGTCTCCAAATCTTTATGTCATCAGCGAAGAGTAGAACGGATGATTTTGCTACAGTTGGCAATTCATTTACATAAAGTAAAAAGAGAAGAGGACCTAGGATTGTACCTTGGGGAACCCCACTTTTTACAGGTACCCACGAGGAGAGAGCCCCATTAACCCTTACCCTTTGTCTCCTGTCATGGAGAAAGTTACTTATCCAATCGACGACTGTATAATGGATTCCAAAACGTTTCAGTTTGAATTTAAGACCAGAGTGGGAAACCTTATCAAAGGCTTTACTTAGATCTATGAAAATTACATCCACAGGAGCATTCCGATCCTTTGCCGCAGCCCAATCTTCTCGTGCAATGAGAAGATTTGTCAAGCAAGATAGGCCTTTCCGAAAACCATGTTGTGCCCTGGAGAAAAGATTTTGCCCTTCAACATAGTTTATAACAGCTATCCGAATGATTTTCTCCATCAGTTTCACAACTGCACTAGTTAAGCTAACGGGTCTATAGTTACTAACTAAATCCCTACTCCCAGCCTTATACACCGGACTTATTATGGCGTCTTTCCAGTCTCTAGGAAGTCTGGACTGTCTCAGAGACATGTCGAATAGTATCGCTAATGGTTCAGCAATTTCATCTGATATGGCTTTCATAATCCTAGGATGAATATTATCAGGACCACTGGACTTATCAGGTTTGAGATGCTGAAGTAGCCTTAAAACAGTATCTTTCTCAATGACTACAGGATCCATCAGCGAGCCGTCACGGTCGCGATGAATCATTGGTCGTTCCTCATTACCGATAGAAAACACTTTACTAAAATATTCCGATAAAGCTTCAGCTTTTTCGGCATCATTCTCTGCTAAGATTAACGGATTTCTCGTATCAAAAGTGATGGAATTCCATCGCTTCTCTTAGTTCGCCTTTTTATATACGAGAATAACCGTTTCGGACTATATCTAGAATCCCTAACCAATTGTTTTTCGTATGATAGTCTAGTCTTGCTTATTAACGCTTTACAGGCATTCCTAATCTTACAATAACTGGATCTGTATTGTTCTAAGCCAGTAGAGATGAACATATTCCAGTGATTCTTCCTTTTTCTAAGGAGTTTCCTGACCGTTTTAGTTATCCATGGTGGACTATTATTCGGTCTTCGCGGTACCAGGTATGGTATGAACGGGGACGTAACTAGTCTAAATTTACCTTTAAATACAGACCATGCTTCTTCAACTGATATGCTAGTATCTACTAACCAATCTGTCTTAGCAGCGCATTCCTGAATGGCTGATATGTTAGCTTTCCATACATTTGGGCGAGGTGTAACCTGATCGTATAACATGTCCCTAGTTCTAAACGCGAATGACAAAACAGCGTGATCGCTGTTCACTAACGGTGGGAGAATATTTAAGTCGACAATATCCTCAGTCTCATGAGTGATTACCAAATCCAGCAGAGAAGAACCCTGGTTAACACCAAAACGTGTGGGTTGGGATACATGCTGCACTAGTGCATGCTCCATTATTGTTATCAGGAACCTACTATCAAAGGAGTTTATAGATCCTTCTGTGGTCATATCAGTCCAACTAATATCAGGTGCGTTAAAGTCTCCTATTATCAAACATCTGGTATTATCACTCCAAAGATGAATGTGCTCTAAAACAAAGTCATCAGCTAAGCAGATTGGGCTCCGATAGATGACACCTAGCATAAATGTACTACATCCTATAGCCAACTTACAGCTAATGACTTCACAAGTGCCGCTATCATGGGATTCGCTAGTAGAGGAGCGGATATTTATGCTATTGGCTATATATAACAGGACGCCGCCTCCTTTTCTACATCTATGTCTATCACTCCTGATGCAATGGTATCCGGATAATTCTGGAGTAATGTCTAAGTCATCGACTAACCAAGTTTCTGTCACTGCTACTATGAGTGGCTTTAACCTGTCCACTAGTGCTTCTAGTTCATAGAACTTATTTCGTAAACTACGAGCGTTGGCATATAAAACTCCTAAGTAGAACAGCCTATCCACACAGGCCTTGGTAGCATTCGCTTCCAAGACCTGACTATCCGAAAACCCACTAGCCGGAGATTTTCCTCGCCGTTTTGCCGACGGGTTTCAAGTTCAGCTAGTGCTTTCTTCCTTTTTATTCTATCTTCGAGAGACATGTCAGGTCTAACTCGGATGTCAGAATTGTCGTGACAACGAGCGCTACTTAACAAGAGATCCCGTTGCTTCTCCGATCCTAGGATTACCTTAAGGAGTCTGCATGGACGGGGTTCAACATTGTCCTCGGTCCTCTTGCCTATTCTTACCAATTTTTTGACCTGAACTCCTTTGGAGTTATCTGGTAAAATACTACGAATGTATTCTCCTAGCTTTTCTAAGTCATGCGCGTGTCTAATTTTCGGATCAGGGTCGTTTGACTCCCGCAATTTGCTCACAATAATATTCGATGTTATTAGATTTTTCTTCTCAGTCACGCCAGGATGGGTTTCACTCTTACCATCAGATCTTGGTAGTGCAATTTGTGGCTCACAATTTGAGTCCACCAGTGAGTTACTAACTACCTGTGTACTGCTTACAGCTTTTTTCTTTTCGTTTCGTTTCCTACGTACCGTAGTCCATTTTTCATCCCTCATAACACTGGGACTATTTGGAACGGTGACTGTTTTATCCAGATCTTCGGTTCCCATTAAAGGTGCATTATTAACAATGTCAGTACCAGGTGGTACTACTCCCCCTGTTAATGTCAACGAAGATTTCACTTTTACGTCGGTCAGAGTCGGTTGTTTGGGGCGTCGTGTAACAGCAGGTACTACACTGACACATTCGTCACTGTCAGTGCCCGTGTTGTCAGCGCATATGCCATCCTTCTTCTTACAGGCCAAAGCCAATAGGCTCATAGCCTCCTGTATTAGTAATGCCTTGTTGGCACAGCAAAACATGCAAAGCCAATGTGAGTTAGGCTTCGAACATCTTTTGTATGCGGTGGGACTTAAGCGGGTGCACATTTTGTGGAACCACTTATTGCATTCGTCACACTGCATTCCCTCCTCCACAGGGAACAAACAGTTTGGTTGTCCACATTTGTGAGTACTACCAACCATTTTAGTCTGATCAAGGTGTAACACACAATATGATCACAGTATGAACACAAATGTCAGTCAACGAATAAAAGGTTACCACAAGAAAAACTTTAGCAAGACTTCAAACCTTAACTAAAGTACTTTGATACAGACCAAGAATGCTTCGAATGTAATAAATACACAAAAGCCAAAAAAACTCAACAGAATATCACTTTAACTGAATTAGATTCAATTAAAGTGTAAATCGTAGTTTTGATACGTAATTTACGATCAAAACAGTTTACTAATTCAACGAGAAACAATACCACTGTCCTTTTTAGATAGCGCGTGTCCTACGATACGACAAAGGGAAAAGGTTTAGGCGTTTTAAACGCTCATCATAAGGGAGTCTAGAAAGACCCTTCACTAATTTCGTTCCCACAGGCCGGACACGTTCATGTAAGTTAGTGTCCTTTACCAGACATGGGCTAGCTGCTTGAATACAGTACTCTAAATATGGTCTTACATATATGGGATATAAAATTCGAAACGTTTCTTCGTCAAAAGACTTAAACGCTCGGTGAAGTGACCATGACGCGCAATAACCTTTGGCAGCAGCTGCAATTCAATGAGTAGTTGTTTTCACTCAGTGACTTATTATTGCTTCTAAGTCTTCATGTTCTTGAACGCATGGAAGAGATGTACCATCAATAGTATAGGGGTAACTATTACTGTATCCGATGTACATGAGTACACTTCTTGGAATTAAATTCTAAGCCCCAACATCAAGCCCACCCAACTAGTTCATCCAGGCCAGTTTGGAGATTAAAATGGTCAGCCCCACTTCTTATTGTTCTCCAGATCTTGACATCATCCCCAAACAATAATGTCAACGACCTAAGCAACGGCGGTAACTCGTTAACGTAGGGAAGGAAGATCAGAGGGCCTGAGATGGTGCCTTGGGGTACACCACTTTTGACCGGCTTCCAATGGGATAGCGTTCCGTTGACCCTCACTCTCTGTCTGCGGGCATATAAGAAGTTTCCTGTCCACTCATGTACAGTACCTATTATTCCGAAGCTCGTGAGCTTCTGCATCAACTACAATGGTGACAAAAACAGGATATGTAAAAGAATTCTCAAACCTTAACTAAATAAATCAAGTAAAAGTCGACCAAGTATGCCTTGGTGCAATAAATACACAAAAGCAAAATCGAAACACTCAATACAATATCACTTTAACTGGGGTAGATGCAATTAAAGTGCAAACAGTAGTTTTGATGCGTAATTTACGATCAAAACAGTTAGTTAACTCAACAAGAAACAATACCACTGTCCTATATTTAAGGATGGTCTGAGACAGATCGTATCTAACTACTGGCCTATCAGTCTAACTACCATAGTCGTTAAGTTACTTGAAAAGATATTTCGAGTTAGGTTGCTAAGCCACATAGATTTACAATCTGTTAGCTCCTGAGCTACACGGATTTCGTAACAAGCGTTCATGCTTGACTAACTTACTTATTGAGAGAGAGGATTGGACAGCAGCATTAGATAAAGGTCTGTCTATCGATGTGATATTCAAAGATTTTAGCAAATCATATGACAAGGTTTCACACGTAGGTCTTATGCAGAAGCTCACGAGCTTCGGAATAATAGGTACTGTACATGAGTGGACAGGAAACTTCTTATATGCCCGCAGACAGAGAGTGAGGGTCAACGGAACGCTTTCCCATTGGAAGCCGGTCAAAAGTGGTGTACCCCAAGGCACCATCTCAGGCCCTCTGATCTTCCTTCCCTACGTTAACGAGTTACCGCTGTTGCTTAGGTCGTTGACATTATTGTTTGGGGATGATGTCAAGATCTGGAGAACAATAAGAAGTGGGGCTGACCATTTTAATCTCCAAACTGGCCTGGATGAACTAGTTGGGTGGGCTTGATGTTGGGGCTTAGAATTTAATTCCAAGAAGTGTACTCATGTACATCGGATACAGTAATAGTTACCCCTATACTATTGATGGTACATCTCTTCCATGCGTTCAAGAACATGAAGACTTAGAAGCAATAATAAGTCACTGAGTGAAAACAACTACTCATTGAATTGCAGCTGCTGTGTCATGTTTAATACAGGTTCACCAACTCACTATCCTTATTATTGAAGACTAAAGACTGAAGTCTGAACCGTATGTTCTCCGCGTAAATCCACATTTACCCATTTAACGTTTGTCCAGCCCCACACATTTATGTTCACCCTTATTTCCTTCACAAATCACAGGAGGTCTGCTTTCGACTACATATTAAAAAAACGATACATGGTTAGGGGTATCTGTTTACATGAAATAACACAGTTCACAAGGAGACTAATGACAAACAGGTCCTCGCTACTTATTTTGTTGTAAGTGGAAAGTTCCGCAGACATCTATGAAAATCTGAAACGATTGTTCGTTGAACAAGGAACTACTTAATGGTCTTGGTTCTTTTTTCTATGGGTAGCATGTCAGGTTCCTCGGGGTGTGGATATCTGCTGAAGTTTATGAATGACTACCACTCTATTATGCCCTTAGCGATTCTCACTCGTTCATGCGGTGGTACATTTGAAGACATGTAGCGCCAAATAAATTCTCAAAATAAATAGTTATGTGACTCTTCAGCACTGATGCTAAATATGTAGCTGAAGGCGCTCAGTCACACATCTGCACGAATGAGTACATCGTGCTGCTCACCCTTTGCAATCGATAGACAGCTTAGACTAAACACTTCTTGATATATCGATAGCTTCCCAAATAGGTCTTCGAGCCCGCCCATTTCTGGCTTCTGATTTGACTGGGTTGACACATTTCCATTACAGAGTTGTTACTTGTACAGGCGTTGTCAAACTCCGAATACTTGTTGATATGATAGAAAGAAAAGTCAATTTTAGATTGATTTACAAATTATGAGTTATGTTCAAGATTACTTCCGTTTTGATTCAATGTAATGATTAATCAACGTAATAGTTGTTTTCTTTTCTCTTATGATATTTTATTCTATATAATATGCGATATTCTTATAATACATTGACATGGACTATGCTCAGTATGCGATTTGTTATAACTCTATTTTTCATATATGTGATTTCATCCTAATTATTAATTAAAATGGGTGTACAAGCAATATATGAATGTATCTTCTACTAGGGCCGTCATCGTGTTTTGGGTTAATAAATCATCACTTATACCAGTATTTGTGTTATTACTTTCGCGTCGTGGAAGTCGCAGAGTTCCCTCGTTCCGAGTATAAGTGATAAGCGTTTCCGACATAACGATCGGCGACGACTAGATACCAAAAGTAGCATTGAAAGAGCCAAGACAATAAGCATTCAAACGACAAATTATAACACTTGTGTCATCTTTATACTGCAGCGGTAAATAAATCCCTAAAATAAATAGCTCTGTAGGTCGTCGACATTTTATGCTGACCACATTGGTCTTAATAGAATCACCTAGCTGAAGGCGCTCGGTCATGATTTCACACTAGATCACGAGTAAGAACGCCGTGCTCAACATCCCCTACAATCGCCAGCCAGATTAGATCAGTCGATTCTCAATATACTGATAGCCTCTCAACTATGTCTTCAAGCCTCCTCGCCTCTGTCTTTTGATTTCATTTGCAATTTTACGAACTCAAAATCGACCGCCCCGCGTTAACGGCAACCGTAGCCAGCAAACAAAGCCGTCTGTTATACGTCACAGATGTGATAACTTCAATTGCACTTCAGCCATCGCTACAGATCGCGGACGCCAGTTCGAATCTGGACTTTTCTGTTGTTTGACTGCACTATTAGGAATCACACGATTCCGAACGGCCACCTGTCACCCACAAGCGAACTTGTTGGCAGAACGCTTCATCGACGGCTAAAAGCTTCACTGTCTGCTGCAAGCGTTTGAAAAGGTGCCAACGCTCTTCCTTTCGTCCAACTTGGCATTCGCAGTGCAGTGAAAGCTGACATTGGATACACTGCGGCTCAACTCATTTGTGGAACGACACTTCGACTTCTAGGAAAATTCGTGGATCCTTCATCCTCTTCAGCGAACGTGGATCTAACCTCTTACACCAACAGGCTTACAAACGCAATGCGTCTAGTTAAACCTGTTTCCGACCGCAATCAACCCGTGCTTTAGTTCAACCTGACTTACGATATAGTACACACGTCTTCATACGTCGAGATTCACATCGATGACCTTTCGAATCAGCATATGAAGAACCCTTCAAAGTTCTTCAACGCGAACTTAAGTACTATATAGTCGATAAGAACGGAACAAACGATAGTACCAACATCGGTCGCATCAATGCGGTGTATTTAGAAGTAAATCCTATATACGTCGAGTTTCCTTCAGTCTAATCGAACGACACGGCTCCTACACTTATAATACCTCATCCGACAGCCAACACGCACGTTGACACTTCGGCAGTATCTGAAAATAAACTTAAAACAACGCGTTCTAGAAGAGGAGTAGGATTTCTAGAGCATACAAGCATCATTGCACGTAAGACAATAATTAGCATTTCGTTTCGTCACGATTTTTCTTTGCATTGTGTACATAGTAAAAAACCAACTTTAATATGCTTACACATATATTTATAGAAAAAACATTTTCTGTTTTGCTAGTATGTCTATATTAAAAGTTTTTTTCAAAAACAGAAAAACTGTTCTTCAAAAATCGGTTTTACGCTATCGCATGTCAATGAGTTTATTTTCTTTTTTCGCCCACTTTATGTCTTCACGCTCATACGAGTGTAACCCGACATACACTCACATATCATTTTCTTCCACGATGGCTGGAAAAGATGAAAAAGAACGACGAAGTTCACGATGGACCGGAATTTTTATTGTACTTGGTTTCTTTATTAATATATTGTACCACATGACCACATGACCTCAGACACTGCCGAACATGACAAGCTATCACAAGAGTGTTTAACAACGACAAACTCGTTGGGTTTAAACTTTTGGCAGGACACGTTTTAGGGTCATCACTGCCGCACCAGGGGTCGGAGTGATCTGTAGCG